CGTGATCGGAATTAACATCTTGATTTACAGAACCCGTCAAAATGACGGGTCACTAATTTTTTAATTTATGATTATTCAGATCGTACAGATACATTCATGAGTTATTTATTCAATTTTTTATGTTACTTACGACAAATGTTACAATAACACTTGTTAAAATTCAGAATAAATGTCTTATTGTTACCTTTATAAACTAATATGAAGCAGCTGTTTCTTATGCTCCGTAAATATAGTGTTGAATAGAATTCGTTTATTTTTTCCAGCATAAAATAATCCACTGTTGTCAAAAGTTTAGAAATTGCAATTGTAAGAAAAATGGCAACGAAAAGAACATTTTTAATATCGACGTGCAAAGTAACAACAATTGATCTTGATCTTTTATTTACCGCTTTTATGTCAATAACAACGCAATGAACATTAATGGTCTGTGAGACGTTTTAACCCATTCGCTGTCAACTACGAGATACTCGTAGATTTTTATAAATCTAAATTATAAATCTCTCAATTTATTTACTATTTATAGCTTATTATTATTTGTTACATATTATTATATTTTACTTGTTATTATTTATTTAAAAAAAGAAACGTTGGCGTCTAGGACAGATTTACAATAATAGTTACATTTTGGTTGATTTTGACCAGCAGCCAAAAACGTTTGCCGACGCTTGATCTAAAAAGATCGTAGCTGCAACGTGATGCAACGTGAAATCATCCCAAAAGAGATTAGAATTGCTTGAAGTAAAAGAAAAAAAAAGAGTTGTTTCGATTACTCAGAACAATTAATCCCTATACGACGCGAATGGCTCGAAACGCAATTGACTCGACGACGCGACGCGGCGTGGTATCGCGGGGAAGTTCGAGCGACCGTGTCTTGCGGTCGTTGAAATCACCGTCGCTATACATTTCCGATTCGAGCATAGAGCACCGCTCGGGACGGGCGCGTCCGTGGCATCGAATCCGTCGTTCAGCCGCATCACCTGCTCGTTAATCTAGCGACGTAGAATCCGCGGAAACGCGTTATCCGCTGGCTTGACTATTTTGGCGTCTCGGTCGGCGAGCAAAACGAGTAACGCCGCAATAATGGCCGCTGATGACGATCGTTTACATGCGCTCGTGATCGTCCCCGCGCACAGTCAGAATTTAAATATGCTTTTCAGGCTGGCTGCCGCGGGATAGGAGAAAAGAAAGAGAGGAAAAGGGAGAGAGAGAGAGCGAGAGAGAGAGAGAGAAAGAGAGAGAAGGAGAGAAAGGAGGAGTCCGGTTGCAATTCAGCGGAGGTCGACGCACGGCGACGTGCCGCGTTATTAAAATAAATTCATTAAGCCGAAACCCGGAGGATCTCGCGGCGCGGTGCGTGCGCAAGAAACCTGCTTGTACGAGCGGCGTGCAATTATATTGTCATTAGTGACGTCACGCCGGTAATACAGCATACCATCCGCTTTGTTGGCCGCGCATTCGTACGAAGCGTTTCGCGGGATCCATCTGGACGGAGGATAATCCGGCTCGCCACCTCGCAGCCGTTGATTATCGAACGAGCGCCAACCTGCAGCCTGGATACGTGATATCGTCGTTGCGCCCGAACTCGTTAACTTGCAATTTTCTGAAGACCGAGGGAAAACGGAGCGAACGATGCGATTCCGCGGGGAGGAGATTTGCGCGAAGACTCAATCATAGGACGCGTAAAAGTCGACTTTTTCTTCGATCTTCTTGCCGGAAGGGTTAAATGTGATAATTACTAACGCAGCGTTGCGTCGCGACGACCGTAGAACGAAAGTTCTTCACCTCTGGCGTACTGAATTTTTGAGGAATTTCACTAACGATCGACCAACACCTTCCAACGAGCGAACCGTTTTCGTGTTGTATGCAAAAATAACGTTTGTCGTATCCTTCTCACAGTAAAATTTATACAACATTTTTATCATTATACTTACAGATGCCCTGCAGGCGTAATTTCGTATTTGCTTTGTGATTTGTTTCACTATTTACAGCAAAATCGTCCCAATTGTGCTCCAACTTGTGACCAAAAATGGACAATTTGGGAAGAGGAGCCGATTGTCGATAACTATAAAAACGTGGCGCAAGACTCGTATAATCGTATCTCCTTTTTCGAAATTGTCCATTTTTGTTCACAAGTTGGAGCACAATTGGAGAGAATTTACTGTATCGAGAATTTTTGTTCACTCGTTTGATGTAAATACTTATCACGAAGTTCTCCATTACGCTTTGAAAATAGCCGTAACTAGCCGGAAAGACGCTAGAATTGTGCCCAGGGGTCTGTGAACTTAGTGGTAAGACAGCTCGTTTACGGTAATATCGCTCAACGTAAGTGTTCATTCGCTGAACAGGTGAAACTAGTGGAGCTATCTACGTGTAAATGATGAACTCCTGTTTCTTTATTTAACAACCGCACGACGGACCTGCTCGACGAAAATATAACTCAGCATACTTAGGTAAGCAAGAACTTTAATGAAACGTTTGAAAATTTCTAATTATCAACGAAAGCTGGATAGTCAAATAACAATAGTGAAATATCTGTATTGGGATTGAAATAAAGCCAACCCCGTCGCCCGAGCGTTAATAATTATTGAGATTGTAAGAATGCTTTCGTCTGCACATTTACTGTACATATTTACATATACATATCTATTTACTCAGTATCTTCTAGTAAAAATTTTGCAATTACGATACGTGTGCGTGTCTATTTATTCAGATGTACTTTGTAGTAAAAATTGTGCAATTACTATATGTAGAATGATATTTACGAACTGCGATCCTACAGACACTCGCACCCACAATGGTCATATTTTCTGTACAATATTATTATATATTATATAATATTTTGATAATATATTATATATTATATATTATATAATATTTTGACAATATATTATATATTATATATTATATAATATTTTGACAATATATTACATATTATATCATATTTTTGACAATATCGTGTCCAAAGGATGCAACCTGTTTGAACACCAACGACGAAATTCCGCCTGCGAAATTTGCCGCGATCGGCTAATTAAAAAGAGAACCGCGGAACGCAATAAATAACGGTCGCTTGAGTCGGCCATGTTGGATATTAGCCGTGAAACGACGTCGTACCTCCCCTCCTTCGAAATGGATTTAACATGCATATTTATTAGAGGCCTTACCCGAATCGCTCTGCAAAGCCCACACACAATGTTTCCGAACTTAAACGACTACGAGAGATTACTGAAAAATTATTCACGATCCGACAAAAAGGAAACCTTGCGGGGCCGCGTTCCCCCGGCACTGACATCGGTCCCCGTTCGATCGTAATTGAATGATCGATTCAATCATCCCGGGGTATCGTTAAGGGAAACGGCGCGGCGGTGGAATGGGGTTAAATTCAATGAAACGCGGGTTCGTCGGGAAAGAATTTAAAATTTAAATGGAACACCCGTTAAAACCGCGTGTCACGCGCCGCCCGGACGGAATTCACTTTTCCCGTAAGCGGCCGACTAAAGACCGTTAAGTGCGTCTAATTCGACCCGTTTTCGACCGAACGATCGGTTTTACGAGCGGCGTCGAGCGGCGATTCCTCTCGTGGCGTCGTCGTTCCGCGCGGAATCGATGCGGCCCCCCGAGATAATTTCCCGCGACACCCGAGACCGCGGACCGAGAAAACCGTGCAAACCCATGAAATTATGCAAATGCGGCCGCCGCCGCTGCAAGGTGTTTGGATAATTGCGTGCACCGTCGGCCCCGCGCAGCCCTTACTTAAAATCACATCAGCGCTGCGCTCGGGCCCGCCGACGATCCCTCCGTCTCTTTTCACCTTTTCCTCCGGCCGTATCACCGCCTCTCTTTCCCTCGATCAGTGTCACCGCCCCATAACGCACACATCTTCTCCGTGTTTATTACGCTTTTTGTTCTCCTCCTGGTGGTATCCCTAATTGCGATGGGCAGAGGGTAACAACCCCCATCGGTAAACGTATATGCACCTCTCCGCGGCGTTTCGTCGAATGACTTTCTTCGTTCACGAATTCCTCGCATCGATCGGGTAATGACTTCGATTCACCTTCGAACGGTGATCACGCTTCTTTCAATATCGCTAACGAAATTACAAAGATACGTCGACGAGCAAGTTTTCTGATACGTTACTTTATCGCAGCATACTTTATAATAGACGTTGCACGAAGTTCGAACGGATGCGATTTTGTTATTGTTACGAAACGATGCACGTTAGTCGCATTTAGGACTCGTTAGTTCTAGTGTTAATATCACTAGCTGTAGCGTGACGTCGAATTGACTCAAATCCACTCGATATCAATCATTTCAGTCTAATTTAATTTAATTTATTTTGATTACTTTCTATATTCGCAAATTGCTGTTCAGAACGATTAAACAGAGAGAAAATATCGAACGCTTCAAATTCCGCTCCGGATCTTCGAAGGAACTACTAGAAAGTCGACGGTAGATAAAGTGTTAAATTGCATTATTTTTGTTACAAATGCATAAAATCCGCAGTCTTTTATCACCCTTATCGTGGAAAACATATTCGTGGAATACATATATTTATCTTTAAATCGTTATTTAGTACAGAAAGTAAGCCGAGAGGTCCTAATTTTCATTTCACGCGCCTCTCACTTGTTCAAATCCTATTCCGCGTATTTTATAGCATAGATTCTGTAGTTCTACATTTTAAATATAGATATCTAAAATATCTAAAAATAAATAAAATATCGCAAATTTTTATACATCTAAAATAATAATAGCATAGAATCCCCCAAATTCGTGATCTTACTATTATACTAATATTTATGATCTTCTTAGAGATCATGAATATTTAATTGGCATGTGCGAGAAGATACGCTAAGAAAAATCGCGTTAGGTTTTAACATGCCTGCAAAACGTGTCAGAAACATAGCAAATCGTCTGGAAAATGTTTAAAAATCGTTCCTTACGATTTTTGATCTCTCAGGTGAACCTAACACGTCGATGAACGGTGCTATACAAGCGACACTCACCTTTGTTTTGCTGCCTCCGATGCTTCCCGGCCGGATGCTTCCCGTTTCGTAGAATCTTGTCAGGATTTTCGAGACACAACCATGGGAAACGAGAAGCTGTCGCGAGATATCGCAAGGCCTGACGCCGACCAATGCGAGTTGCACGATCCTTTGTCGAACACAGTCGGGCAATGGTCTCCCGTTAACAAAGACACCGCCCAATTGATTCACTCCCGCTTGGCCTGCAACAATAGATAATTTTCTTCGATGTTTGCACAACGACACGTGCGAGGTTCTCTATGACTAACACTGTTTTCGAAAACCATGTCTTGCTAACTCTACGGCGGATCTTTGCGAAAAATAAAAATTGTCGTCGTCTCTTGTATCGAACAGAAATTCGTTAAAAATGTGTATTATCTTTTAACGACGTCAATACAGTATTTTTAACCCTTTGCACTCGAAGCTATATTTTAACTGAAAATATAAAATCATTTTTCTAAATTATAGTATAATATTTCTACTTTATATGATAAAATGCATTTTATGCATATGAAGTTGACTCTTGGGACTCGCACAACAGTTACATTCTTAACAATTTTTTAAATCTAAACTTTGTTAATATAAAAATTATCTTAAAAGGTGATATAACGAATTTTAGTGGTGCCTCAGAGTCACCATTCGAGTGCAAAGGGTTAAACTTTTCCTCTGTCTTTACTGTTCCGTATTTCGTTTATTCATTTTTGCAACAAATGTAGAAAATTCGTAGCTCACAATATCGCATTCGATCTGCAAAAATCTACTAACGTACTCATGCGATCTCCGATAGCAAAACTGTGACACGTGGAAGATCATTCAAATCAACGATAACGAACTAGATCATAAGACGGTAGAAATGTGGTATATTTCTACAGTTAGTTTGCTAAATATATTTACGAATATAATATTTTCTATGCTGCTTGAATAATTTTACATTAGTCGAACATTTTATGAAGCGAATAATATTCATCGACAAAGATGTGTAAATATTGTGTTGGAGATCAACGATGTATGTATGGTCGTGTAAGTGTGAGCGCGTGGAGCGTTTGTTTTGTTTTGGAGTCTCGGCGGTGCTGCGGTGGAATGGTCAAAGGGTCTGTGACGCTATTAGTTTGTAACTGTTGAGTATTTTCAGTTTCGCCCGAGTTGCAGAACAACGTGCAGTTCGTTCATTATGTATTATATTACTATTGCGTTGAATACGCGACTACACACTGTGCTGTGATCGTTCAGTTTGAATAAACATTATCCTGAAATTATAATTATTATATATATATATATTAATATATTAATATTATAATTATTATATATATATATATTAATATATTAATATTATAATTATTATATAATTATATAATTATATTATATTATAATTATAATTATTATATAATTATATAATTATATTATATTATAATTATAATTATTATATATATANCAAGGCCTGACGCCGACCAATGCGAGTTGCACGATCCTTTGTCGAACACAGTCGGGCAATGGTCTCCCGTTAACAAAGACACCGCCCAATTGATTCACTCCCGCTTGGCCTGCAACAATAGATAATTTTCTTCGATGTTTGCACAACGACACGTGCGAGGTTCTCTATGACTAACACTGTTTTCGAAAACCATGTCTTGCTAACTCTACGGCGGATCTTTGCGAAAAATAAAAATTGTCGTCGTCTCTTGTATCGAACAGAAATTCGTTAAAAATGTGTATTATCTTTTAACGACGTCAATACAGTATTTTTAACCCTTTGCACTCGAAGCTATATTTTAACTGAAAATATAAAATCATTTTTCTAAATTATAGTATAATATTTCTACTTTATATGATAAAATGCATTTTATGCATATGAAGTTGACTCTTGGGACTCGCACAACAGTTACATTCTTAACAATTTTTTAAATCTAAACTTTGTTAATATAAAAATTATCTTAAAAGGTGATATAACGAATTTTAGTGGTGCCTCAGAGTCACCATTCGAGTGCAAAGGGTTAAACTTTTCCTCTGTCTTTACTGTTCCGTATTTCGTTTATTCATTTTTGCAACAAATGTAGAAAATTCGTAGCTCACAATATCGCATTCGATCTGCAAAAATCTACTAACGTACTCATGCGATCTCCGATAGCAAAACTGTGACACGTGGAAGATCATTCAAATCAACGATAACGAACTAGATCATAAGACGGTAGAAATGTGGTATATTTCTACAGTTAGTTTGCTAAATATATTTACGAATATAATATTTTCTATGCTGCTTGAATAATTTTACATTAGTCGAACATTTTATGAAGCGAATAATATTCATCGACAAAGATGTGTAAATATTGTGTTGGAGATCAACGATGTATGTATGGTCGTGTAAGTGTGAGCGCGTGGAGCGTTTGTTTTGTTTTGGAGTCTCGGCGGTGCTGCGGTGGAATGGTCAAAGGGTCTGTGACGCTATTAGTTTGTAACTGTTGAGTATTTTCAGTTTCGCCCGAGTTGCAGAACAACGTGCAGTTCGTTCATTATGTATTATATTACTATTGCGTTGAATACGCGACTACACACTGTGCTGTGATCGTTCAGTTTGAATAAACATTATCCTGAAATTATAATTATTATATATATATATATTAATATATTAATATTATAATTATTATATATATATATATTAATATATTAATATTATAATTATTATATAATTATATAATTATATTATATTATAATTATAATTATTATATAATTATATAATTATATTATATTATAATTATAATTATTATATATATACAATTATTATATTAATACTTATACAAAAAAAGAACGTATATACTATTATTAGCGTAATGGACACGATTGCAAGAATACGTAATAGACGATGAACATTAAAGATTGCTCGAAGAGACTCGTACAAAGATGAAACACGATTAATGCATATTGTTTTATAACTAGACTGAGGATCTTTATGCAAAATAAAAATTGTGTGCTTTTCACGCAAGATACAGAAGCTGCATAGAACTTTCTTTGTATGTTGGTATTCTTAAATTTGTTCAATCTTCTCGCNTTATAATTATAATTATTATATAATTATATAATTATATTATATTATAATTATAATTATTATATATATACAATTATTATATTAATACTTATACAAAAAAAGAACGTATATACTATTATTAGCGTAATGGACACGATTGCAAGAATACGTAATAGACGATGAACATTAAAGATTGCTCGAAGAGACTCGTACAAAGATGAAACACGATTAATGCATATTGTTTTATAACTAGACTGAGGATCTTTATGCAAAATAAAAATTGTGTGCTTTTCACGCAAGATACAGAAGCTGCATAGAACTTTCTTTGTATGTTGGTATTCTTAAATTTGTTCAATCTTCTCGCTGTTTTAAAATTTTACGCAATAAATGCATAGAATCCACGGTTATATTCATAATAATGACATGATCAGATTTATTTAAACTGCGTTTTTATATTATAATATATGCTTGAACGAAGAAGTTCGTATAAAAATTTCTGATAAGATCATTTTTACAGTATCAGGAACGGTAAAAGAAAAAAATCTGGAAACAGTCATTTCGACCGGTTCGGTAGTTCTCGTGATACAGTATAGTAACGTTCATAGAATTTTATCTGAATACGTATCTTTGCGCAAAATATGGACACAGAACTACTACAAAGTAGTTTCGGGCAACTGGCGCTGAACGACGTCGGACGATGCCTAAATGAAATCATTAGCCCGAATTAGGAGAGAGGATTGGCGTTATTGCCAAAATGCAGGTGTTTAGTCCTACATCGGCCGGTTTCGGGGGCCCATCGGAATAGTAATAATCTGCTAATAGCGAGTATATACGATTTTGGGAGGATCGGTGGGGCAGATGGTTTCCCCGTTCCCTCTAATAATCGCTGACAAGTCGGATGTCTTCGACGGAGGAGAAGCCCGGCTGACATTCTTGCGTGCGTCCCTTTGGAAAACGAAGACGTGTAATCATCTTCTATCCGTCGCGCCGCGCCGCCGGATGTCGACCGCCGGGTTGTCACAGAAAACGAACGAGGATCCTCGTTCGAGTTGGTTTCAACTAATTTTCGGACGCTTCTTGTTGCCCCGGATTACAGCTTTTAACAATTTTTCACGCACTCGACGAAACGTAACATTATCGGCCGCTCTCCCCAGTCTTTTTCTCTGCTAACGGTCGTCCTGCCTGCCATTTCCCACGTATTTAAACTTGCTACATACTTGTTAAGAAGCTGCACTCTGGTCAGCGTGGCTCGAGCGACCGGAATTTGGAAGGGGGCCTGGACGTTTACACGAGGTGCTAATTAACAGTTTGTCATTTTTGTCTAATAAATAGACCGCGGATCTCCGTGCGAATTATAATTTTCGTACGTCATTTGGCAAAAATTGTAATTAAAGAGAAGGTGTCCTTGTTGACTAAATGATGACTTAATGTGGACAGAAAATAAGAAAATAATAATAGGAAATTAGATTATAATAAGAATTATAAACTTAATAAGAAAATAATTTATAGGATTTTTTGAATTTTTAAAATCTCTACATACCATCGATGCATACAGATCCATGGTTTACTAATATCTTCGGAAATAAAGTAAATGTCTCGACTTGAACAAATATATAGTAGATTGGTTACGTATTCAGTAAATAATAGAAACGCACGATAAAAGTTGCTGTATGTGTGCAACAAAATACAGAGTTTCTCGAGTTCGAACATTTCTACCATTTTTCTGAAAACCATCGCTGCAGCATATTGTAGAACAATCACTTTACTAACTTTTATAAGTGATAATATTTTCTTTCGTGTACTTTTTATTTCGTTTTTTCCTACGTACATATTCTTTCCTCTTGCACCAAAGGCTTTTTCCCGTGAATAAATGAATGAAACGATTGAAATCATGCAGGTTATTCGGTACTATGTCAAGTTTACACCAAGCGACACTTGTAAAGCTACACTGTAAAGGATGTCCATTGAAACTACACCCCAAGTCGAAACGCGACTTTTAAACGTCTGTGGTCTAATAATAAGCGTTTAGTATCGAGATACTTCGTAGCCACGGCGCGTTGGATGTTTCGGTATTTCGAAACGCTGTGAAACGAATACGAAAGGGTAACAGCACTCACGATTATATGCGAGTTAGAACGAAGGCGAAACAGAGTTATTTCGTAAAGGCGTTAATCTTATTTGACGAGATCGCGAGCAGCTGTCGTCGACCCGTGGAGTTCCAAGCGATCCGAGATCAATCGAGCGTTTATCGACGGAACGAGGCTCGCGCGTGCCGCGACGGCACCAGTTTTAGTGGTCGAACTCTTAACAGAATCTTCTTTCATCTTCGCTGAGGCGACACTTTTAGCCGTCAATAAATTCGTAGTTTTAATGGAGCTTTCCCTCAGAAAGTTGGGCGACCTATGATGAAAGGAACGACACGTCGATGACTTCGAAACGAGCCGTGCAACAACTTCGACTTAGAGCTCGTGAAGTATTTTTTCAGGGAGACCAATGATAGATAACGACCATAGATCTTTATTGCAAACTCTTTGCTCTTGAAATAGACTTTGGTTTGTACACGTGTATCTGGTATATCTTAACGTAGATAGCTTACATTACGTTGCACATTATTACTGGTTTTATTTGCTTAGTTACACCTATTTTATCATAATCTCTCCATTTATTCTCTTTTGCTTTCTAACTTTATCTTCTTTTTTCTATTTTCTTTATAGTCGATTTATTCCTTCTACAATAAGCTTCTCATCTAGGATCCTCTTCAGACTCAAGTATCACCAATGTATGTATAGTCCTCGCGCGACAAGAGTGTAAACAAGTTGTGTTTACATTCCCCCTCTTACAAGCTGCGACAGTGGGGCAGCTAGTAAGAGGAGGAATGTAAAGACAAAGGTGCCTTCTTGTCGCGTGAAGACTGTATGTTCGAAATACTTTGACTGTGCGCAGCGTTATTTACTAATAATATTGTTATTAATATTGTTATTAATATTAATATTATTGCACTAATAATATTGTTATTGTTATTAATAATATTGTTATTGTTATTAATAATATTGTTATGCTGTTTTCAACTTATCAAAATTATTAAGAGAAATAATTCATTTTTATTCGATATGTACGACGGCGAGGGTCAAATAATCGTATTCCCTCTTCCCAAATTGTCCACTTACAAACTGAGGAACAATTGGGATGAATTTTCTGTATTTCCCACAAGATTGTCGAACAATTTTGATCTCTTATTAAGATCCGCGGTCTGATCATAAGTTAAAAGTTCGCAGATAATAGAAAGTCGATGAAATAACGATTGACCCGATTAAGAGCATTCTAGTTTCCGAGAAACGTCTCCGCGCGCGAACGATTCCGCAGCCGAAGGTGGTGCCATTCGCGGATATCTTTTTTCCAGTTCTCACTCTCTCTCTCTCTCCAGTCGATAAATCTCGGGTCTTGGCAAGCCACTTTCGATCATCGAACTTTATACAGCGTACCGTAAAACGTCGTCGGCGTCGGCTCGCGATAAAAACCTAA